CACTGATGCTGTTACAGCAGGGTGTGGATATGGCAGCTGCTCATCCAGCACCCTTGCTGGTTGGGTTGGTCGGGGAGCAGATGGGAGGGTGATGGCGGGCAGAGGAGGAGATGATGGGATGCGGGAGGACATTTGGTTTGTCTACTGAGCGAACCGCAAGAAGGGAAAGACAGCTGGATAATAAATGGTTGTGATGGGTTAAAATGTTATGTGTGATGGCTGAAGTGGGGTGTACGAAGAACTTGGAGAAGGGGAATGGGAAAGGGAGAGACAAGGAAGGAGGGATTGGTAGAAGGGATACAGGATTAAAAGGGAGGTTCAGAGGTCCAGGGGGAGGTGAATGGGGAAGGAAAGGAAGAAAATGGAAGGCGGTGTTGGAGGGGGCTGAAACGCTTCATGCGATGCCTGCTATGGTCACCCAGGAGGGTGGTCGATTCCTTCACCAATTCACCTTATCTCTCTTCCCACTCACCATGCTGGTACCATGACCACTATTTCAGCTTCATGTGTTTCTGAGGAGTGTGCAAGCTCCCATGCTCCCATCTCCTTGCCTTGCCTCAGCTGGCCTTCCTGCCTCAGCAGCCATCACGTTGTGCCACCAACCCACTGTCAGCGCCAATGCACATGAGCTGTTTCAAGAGGGGATGAGGGGTTTGGGAAGGAAGGAGGCGGGGGAGGGAAAGGGGTACGAAAGCAAGGCAGCAAAAGGGGAAAGGCATGAGCACACAAACAAACTGTCTGCACTAAGGGACATTAGCTGCGAGTGGGAGAGGAGAAGGATGGGGAGGAACGATGGGCGAGGGGGGGATAGAGGGGAGGGGAAGAGGTAAGAAGGCAAGGCAGCAATGGAGGCAAGCATAGGCGAACCCTCGCCAGCCTGCACCCACATCACTCCTTTCTCCCGTCCACACGCACACACACACACCCCTGCTTGCGCCCGCATATCCCCCTTGTCCCCCCACCCCAACCCCTTCTTTCCCTTGTAACACCACCAAGCCCCTTTGCCGCACCCACAACCCCCACCCCCACTCCCCGTCCCGCGCCCACAAATCGTGGCACGCATGGCTAGGTTCGGCTCGGGCCGTGTGCATCACTATCCAGCACGACCTGGGCCAAATTTGCCAGGGCCGTCACAACCCGATGCCTAAAAACCGAGCCGCGACTCAGGCCACGTCCGACCCTGAGTGGCGGGGCGGGCCGGCCCAACGAGGGCCGACAGTAACGAAATCTTGCCCCCGCCCGACCCACGGCCCGGCCCATGCTCATGTATCATATGTCCCCCTTACACTGCAGGTGACAGCTCCCCGTCCCGCTTGCTGTAGCCCAAGTTACCACCTGCTGGCCTTCTACACTCTTTTCTCCACATGCAGACCTCGCCACTCCCGCCACATCCTGTCCTTCTACACCCGTTCCTCCTTGAAGCTCTTCTCGTCCAACTGAGGTGACATGCACCCAAGAGCCATGGCTTGCTTAAGGGCGAATTTCGAGGGGCAGAGGACTGGAGGAGCAGGTGCAGACCTACCCGGCTCGCTTTCTGTAAGCCCAAACAACCACCACCACCTCTCCTCTCTCCGCCACCTCGTGCCCTACCCACACCCATTTCTCCCCACACCTCACCTCTCTCCATTTGAAACATGAGGAAGAGCACAGGGGCGAAGGGAAGGAGAAGGCGAGTGTTTGAGGGTGAGAAAGAGGGAGCGGGTAGGCGAGGTGGAAATGGAGGGGAGGAGACGGGGAAGGGGGGGGGATGGGGAAGTGGGGGGAACAGGTCAGATCTTTTTCGATCTCTCGTTCGGATAACAGTCGCTGGAGGGGAGCAGGTCGGAAGGTAGAGGCGCGAGCCGGAAAGAGTAGACAGGCAGAGCGCTATGCTTTTAGAAGTAGGTACATTTGGACTTAGGCAAGGGTGAACGATGGGGAGCAGGACTCATGGGAAGAGAAAGAGGTTCCTGTTGGGAGCCGCTTCTCCCCAGACAAATCAGCAGCCCTCCACAGCAGGGGGGGATACGGGAAGAGAGTGAGGACAGGCCGATGGCACAAGAGGCAGGAATTACTTGGAAAAGGAATCATGATTCACGCACAGGAAACACGCCAGAAAGAGTCCTGGAGTGGATAACAGAGTTGGGGGCTTGATTGACGGGGGAGTGGAGCAGGCAGAGGAGGAAAGGGGAATGGATATCAGGGCAGGATGGAGGCATCATGTAACATGATGCATGCTGCGTTCGCAAAGCAATCCTGTCCGTTCATTCATCTCACTGTTTGCTTCTCTCAGATGGCTTCATCGCAGTCCTCAGCTGTAACGCCTGTGGACTAAGTGTTAATGGGCATTCCGCTGCGCCAAATAACACCCTCGTTTTGACCCAGTGGGTAGCGAGGTGTTATACTGGAATCAGAGCCTAGGGTTCAAAATCCTGGCTGATCCACATTTTCCGCCTGTGGCGAGAACTTGAATGTGGAAACCTGACTGAACCCAGTGAACGATCCTCCGCTGGCCTGGTCCACCAGCGAAGTCGCTGCTTGGAGCACAGCGAACAGGTCCCTGCGGGGGCCGACTCCCTGAAGTTCGTCAACGGGGACGTTGACACCAGGGGGGGACGAGTGTAACGCCTGTGGGCTAAGTGTTAATGGGCATTCCGCTGCGCCAAATAACACCCTCGTTTTGACCCAGTGGGTAGCGAGGTGTTATATCAGCCGTCCCCGTTGTCAGGCGTCATCTTCGCACGTCCGCTTCCAACCCATCTCGCGCGCGAGCAGCGTGCTACTGGGAAGAAAACGCGGCGGAAGGGCAATTGCAAGTGCGTGGCGTTTGAGTGGCGCTGCGACGCGCATTCGAGCCCATTATTCTCCCTTTTAAAGCGCGTCGCTACCGTAGGCCTCTAGTTCTTAAAAAATCCGCCGATCGCCTATGGGCTGCCGAATTACCTCGCTCAGCGACTAACTATTCGTGGCAAACGGAGATCCTCGGAGCTACGCGATCGTCGTTTACAGCCAAGGCGCGTTTGCGGGAGACTGGAACGAGCGACATCAATTCGGATCCGCCAGTGTCAGCGCAAAATGTACTAACATGTAAGCATTTTTCAAGACGTGTGGCGATAGTGACGGCTATCGAATCTGGACGAGCGGCAATCGTGCTTGCTGACGCATATCTAGCTGCTGGCGAATATGACCTAGTAGCGACTATTTTAGCGAGAAGCGCGGATGATTGTGTGGAGGTTTTTGGGCGACAATGTATCACGATGCGGAAATCGAGCAAGAGCGTTTCGCGCATCGCCCGCTGTTCGCAAATCACCGAATCTTCTCGCCAAGCAAGCGTTGCGGAGAAGTTTGAGCCCTGGCCCGATTTGCGAGGTACAAGAAACACGTATCACCTGTTACACAGCTGTTAAATCATTCGCCTCTCGGAGATTACATGTTCGCCCCACGCTGCCTCCCTGAATTGGGTTCAACACCTTCGTATAGCACCAAACCTTTGAACCGGAGCACAGCCCGCAAAACCAATTGAGGTGAATTCCTCTGACAAAGTCACTCCATACTCATCACCATACTTCCCTGAGAGTCGCTCAGTGGGAGCCTCCGTCGTTTGGCCCCTGTCTCACTTATAGAGATCTCATATTCATCGAGTGAAGTACACAACTACTGCGGAGTTTGAAGTTTTTCCACGCTCATTGCGGAGCTTAGATTCGAGTGACAACTCTTAGGCTTCATAGACTCACGACATTTCAGTCTACGAAACCCTAGAAACAGGCTGAGGTAAGACCGTCTCGTCATTCCATTCATTTCGCCTCGCATTCCGGCAGTACCCTCATACTCCTCCTTTGGCCTATGCGCTTGAGTGCGTTGATGGACTGTTTCGCTTGAACTCAGCCCTCCCGACCGTTTGCGTTCCACGTTCCCACTGAGCTTTTAGCGCTGAAAGGAAAAACGTAATAATCATTCGTTTACTCATGCATGGAGGCGTCACGCTTCCATGCTCTTATGAGTGCAAACTGAACGCCGATCTGGTACTCATTGACTTGTGACTTGTGAGGCAAACAGAACATGGCATTGCCAAGAAAATCGAGTGATTTGTGACCTGACGTTGCTACGGGTCCCATAATCACACACACGTGTCCACGTAATGACGCTTGTGCAGCACCGGTTACCGCACGGATGTCTGTTCAGCACTTTCGTGGACTCTGGTCGAATGAACTCTGGTCTGGTTACCCAGCCAAAGAATCAGAAAGAGCAGTAACGGTCGTGTAGGCATTGGATTGAATGAACATGTTTTTGAGTACGATGATGATCAGCTGTTTTCCCTGCATGGAGGTGTTATGCTCAGGGTAAACTGAACACCGATGTTTACATAATGCACTGTCAAGAAAATGAAGCGACATGTGTGACTGGACACTGCGTTGAGTCCCGTCATCATTAGATATCCCAATCCTTATGCCATTGTCGTTTGAAGTCCCTCCATTACATTTCCTCCATGCAGTCTTTCTCTGAAACTACTGTTTCCTAGACATATATTGCTTCCCATGGGCTGTAGCAGCTCACATATTATCTATCAAACTTCGCAATTTAATCTTCTGATTTCATTGCTTACTTGTATATAGACTAGACACAATCGGCGAGTAAATCTTTCGTTGTTGTGGGTTGCCCTGTGGAGTCGAATTTGCGAATGTCAATTCTTTTCGATCTGCCCCAATAAAAATCGGCCAAGCATTTCGGTCTGCGTTCTGCGTTCTGCGTTTGAACGCAGAACGCAACGCTTGCCCTGCGTTGTTCTCCACACAGAGCGAAAATCGTGTGACCACTTTGAGTAAAATAGATGAGGCAAGTATTTACTCGTTCGCCAAATGCTTGTCTATGTGGACATGTCACTCCCTCCTGCTCCTTCTTTCCATGTGTGTATCCTGTTTACCCATTCACCTCCACTTGATTTCGTTGACATGCCACAGAGCCATCGTTTTGGGCACCCCGCAGAAGGGAGGGAGTCGGTCGGTGGAACTGAAGCCGCACTCATGGCTGTAGAACAAGGGGCAAATGCGATAACTGAAGCAGTGAAAGCACTGTTCGGATTAGTGAGAGGGGAGGTAGCAGCAGTTAAGGAGGAGCTGGCCGCAGTTAAGGAGGTGGTGGTACGGCAGAAGGAGCGAGTGGTGATGCTGGAGGAGAGGAATCAGGTGTTGGATAATGAGGTGAATGAGTGGAGGCGTGCTGTGGGGGAGAAGAGTGCGGCGGCTGCTGCTGTGGTGGAGATGAGGGGGGACGAGTTGGCACTAGTGAAAGAGCAGTTGAGTGGAGTGAGGGAGGAGTTGGCTGAACACAAGGCTAGTATGGTGGAGAAATGGGATATGGTTGAGAGTAAAAGAGAGTCGGATATGAGAGATCTGAGAGAGGAGGGTAGGAAGGGAGAGCAGATAATGAGAGCGGAGTTATCAAAGGAGAGGGAGGAGTGGAAAGGTGGGGTGCAGAGTGTGAGTGAGGCTGTTGGAACTGTCATGGCAAGTATGGCCACAGCACACATGGTGAAAGAGGCGATGGAGATGAGAATGCGGGTTCTTGGCGTGCAGCTGGAAGAGACAAGGAGGGAGTAGGCTGCAGTGAAGGGGGAATTAGCTGAACACAAGAGCGTTGTTACAGGGCGAGCAGAGGAGGTGATCAGAGCCAAAGGGGAGTTGGAGGAGGCTGAGAGGAGACAAATGGCAGAGATGAGGGAGATGAGAGGGCAGGTGAAGTGGGGGGAGAGGGAGCTGGCAGCAGTGAGGGGGGAGTTGGCTGCGGTGAAAGGAGAGCTGGCTGAACACAAGGAAGTTATGGCAGAGCAAGTGGAGGCTAAAAAGGAGCTGAGTGAGCTTAGGGAAGAATTGACAGCGTTGAGTGGAGATTTGGAGGGGCAGACGAATATTCTGAAATGTCATTTGGAGGAAGCTGAGAGACGAAGAGCAGAGGATTTGAGTGAGCTGAAAGGAGAGGCGGAGGAGAGGGAGAGAACTCTGGCAGCTTTAAAGGGGGAGTTGGAGGAGGCTGAGAGGAGAAAAGTGGCAGAGATGAGGGAGATGAGGGGAGAGGTGGAGGAGACGAAGAGGGGTTTGGAAGAGGCTGAGAGGAGACGAGTGGTGGAGATGAGAGGGCAGGTGGAGGAGAGGGAGAGAGAACTGGCAGCAGTGAAGGGGAAATTGGCTTTACACGAGGATGTTATCAGCCAAGATCCAAAGTTGACTGTTGAGCTGAAAATCAGGGACAGTGAAGGGAACACGAAGACTGTGTGGGAGGTGAGTGCTCAATGAATTAGATCACGTTGCACAAATGGTTTGTTACTATCCTGTTCTTGACATTCATTCCCTCTCCACCCATTTCCTCCAGGCAATCAAGTCAGCATTAAAAGAAACCGATCTGAATCTGAAGAGTCTTAGCGGCCTCTCAGACGCCATGCTCGCCCATGTGTCCACCATGACTCATCTGACAAGCATTGACATGAATTCTGCCTCAGGCTTCAGTGCAGAGGGCATCAAGCACCTCTACAGGATGCCACTGCTGAAAAAGCTAAGCCTGAATTTTGTAGATGTTTCAGATACTGCCTTGGAAGGAATTGGCTCCTTCACGGGTCTCGAGCACCTCTATTTCCAGAGGACCAAGGTGACTGACGCTGGTCTGCAAAACCTGATACACCTTTCCTCCCTCAAATCGCTGAACCTTTCTGAATGCAAGGGTGTGACAAACGCTGGCATGGTGCACGTGGGGAGGCTGGCGGAGTTGGAGAATCTTTGGGTGCATGATACGGCAGTCATGGCTGATGGGCTGCAGCAGCTGAGTGCCCTGACGAAGCTGACAACTCTCCGGCTGCCAAATGGAGATACATTTTCGAATAAGGATGTGCTTAGGTGGACAGGTAGAGGTAGGTAATTGAAGTGATGTGGAGGGGAGGGAGACGAAGGGGACGGCAGAGTCGGCTACAGCTGACAGGAGATGCTGACGAAAGGTGTATGGAGGCAAGGGGTGTGAAGAATAAAGGGAGCATATGGAGGCGTGTGCAAGCTGGCTTGGCAAAGCTTTGCATGTGTGCAGCTAGTGCAACCTAGGGTTGATTCTTGTATGTACAAGAGTAGGCGGTGTGTAGGCATATTAAACTACAGAAGGGGCATGCAAGAGGATGCATGGATTTTGAGGCTATTGTGTTCGCTAGGGTGATCGGCATCTTGCTGCATTGACCAACCATAGTGCACTGTGATTGGTAGGAATGATTGATTGGCCTGGCATGTTGATACCTGTGGTTTGGAGGTAGGAAATTTTCAAGAACATGCTGGTCAGCGTGCCGTTCCCTGTCTACAAACTACCATAGTAAGTGAACCTGTGCCTTCTCTATCTCAGGATGAATGAACAGCTCACAAATGGTAGAGACTGCATGACTGGCTATATGCATGTAAGCTGCAAATGAATCTGGCTGCTAGCCTTATCAGATTCTACTCTTCTCATATAATTTATCAATGTAAGTGGTGGTGAGATATTATTGGAATACGGTACAGAGGCATCCTTGCACTAGGGCAGATGTCGCAAATGCACCCCCTAATTCCAGCTTCACACTCCTCCCATTCTGTTTGTGCTGTTGCATGGCACGTTTATTGTGTCCCCTGGAGCTCAAGATGATACTATATAGTCCACGGACGTTCTGCTTCACCACCATGCTGCCACCACTTCTCAGTATGTCTGTTACGTATCATGTCACTTCGAGCTCGAGATGATTCTGCTGAGAAAGTGGAGGGCATTGATGATATGCAAGGACAATATTGATGTGGAAACGGTAGAGTAGTAAGATGGGGCCTAGACAACAGCAGGCCTACTGATGCACCGTGCTGTCAGTAAGATCAGGAGCCCATGGGGAGGACAGAGGGGATGAGGCAGCAAGAGAAAGAATGGCTTATGTGATCTGCGGCAGCAGAAATGATTTAGGGACAGCAAAGTAGTCGGAGGCGCATTGTGGGGTATGGGATAATATGTCACATCACTTTCACTTTGTGCTAAAACACCCAAGCATTGTTGCCCATGTAACTCACAAGCATGGCTAGTGTCTGCTACTGTAGCCATGCTTGTTGTGACCGTACCCCAAGCACCTCTTCCATGAATCACCCTCTCCTCCAGGCCCACCTCCCTCCACGCTATGCCATCACTGCAAGCGCACATCCCACTGTTGGGAGGGGTAGGGTAGTGGAAGGGTAGTAGAAGGGAGGGGTCAGGGAGGGTGACGGATGGAATCGTTGAAACACAGGAGTGCATGTGGCACCTTTTTGCTGCCGCCAAGGAAGGGGAGATGAAATTGCGAAGGGCAACGGGGGGAGGGTGGGGGTAGGGGGAGAGAGAGTGGGTTGAGAAATGTATGAGCTGAACAGGGCAGGAGTGACAGCATATTAGGCGGCCCTGGAGTAGGTGATCTGGGTGGGAGGGAGAGGTGGTGCCTGAGGGTGTTTTGAGACGTCTCAAAACAGGCGGCCCTGGAGTAGGTGATCTGGGTGGGAGGGAGAGGTGGTGCCTGAGGGTGCGATGGCTTTGGTGCTGCTTGGCTGGGATGGTGGGGAGCAGATGGGAGGGTGATGGCGGGGAGAGAAGGAGGGGAGGACTGATGAGGCGGGACAGTTGAATCATGCACCAGGTGAATCGCAAGAAGGGGAGGACATATGAAAGATGGAGTTGTACAATTAAACAGTTGACATTGGTACAGGGGAGTAGGAGAGGATCGGAAGGATGAGCGCAGGCATTATAGAGCTGAATGGGGTGATTGGTGAACTTGGAGATGGGGAAGCGAGAGAGGTGAGAATAAAGGGAAATGGTGGGGAGGGAGAGTAGAAGGGAAACGGGATGGAATGGAAACAACAGAGCACGGGAGTGAGGTGAAGCACAAAGAAAGACCAAGGGAAAATGCAGGGGAATGGGGTGTTGAAAGGACTCAAGCGACACTTGTCATGAGCAGCTATGAGGGTGGTCGGCTCTTAGTGCTACTCGACCCGCTCTCCCCACCCACCATGCTTGCGTCGTGACTCATGCTGGTCCGGGTTCAACCCATTCTCATGCGTACCTACCAATCAAAAGAAAAGTCAAGGTCAAGAAGCTGGCTGTTGGGCTGTGTGGGGGGAGGGGGGGGGGGGGGGGGGGGGGGGGGGTTGGAAAAAAGAGGTGATGGGGGGATGGGTAGAAGAGAAAGAGAGGGGTGTTGGAAGATGGGACGAGAGGCTTTGTATAAAGGAAAATGGAACTGGATGGCAGAAGAATGGCTGCGGTGGCAGAGCGATGGGAGACGCGGGATGTGAGACCTGGGTGGATGGATGTGGCGATTCCAGTGAAGTGATTCATTGAGTATGGTGATGGAATTGCGTTGCGCTGCGGTGCAGGGCGGTGAGGTGGGAGGGGAGGGAGAAGGTGGGGGGGATAGAAATTTGAGACCTGTGAGGAGACTGTCCACACTAGTCTCCTCACCAGTCTCCAGTGTCCACATCGCTCTGCCCTGTGGGTGTAGCAACAAAGGCATGCTCAGAACACTCCTTCACACACGGCATGTGATGATGCCAAGCCATGCGGTCGCACCTCTTAAATCCTCACATGCAGCCCAAAAGCCCCGCATGACCAGCACGTAAGGAGCAGCTTGCAGCTCTGTGCACGCTGACACGAGGTCACAACAACCACAGCTTCTTCTGCCATAAAATTTCCCTACCACACCTTACCTTCCTCCTGCCCACTTCCAACATCGTGCAACTAATCCTTTGGTTTGGTGGCACAATGAGCGTCATATCCACAGGTCTGCCCTCCTTCCTGCCTCCACCTTACTTGCACGCAACTGACCTGCTTCACCGCCAGTATTGCTGCTGTCTTAGGCGACTCTGTCCTGGTGCACTTCAGCAGTCCCTACATTCACCCTGCCTTGCCATTGAACCAGCGGCAAAAGCGCCAAAATGGGGTTGGATAGGCAAAGGTGCGACGGGTGGAAGGCGATACCGGCCCGGAGCACCACATGAACGACGACATCAAGCAAGAAACAAAACGAAACACCATGCATCTTAACTCTTGCTCTGTCGTCACACCTCGCCAATAAGAACCATCAATAACGACACACACAAACCTCACTCACAATGAACACCAGTTTACAGGAGCCTCAAAGGCTGTGGCGGAGGCATGAGCAAGGGTCCGAGCCAAGATGGCTAGTCTGGAGTGACTTTTGAGTCGACTCAAAAGTCACCTCGTTACAATTGCACACGACACTTTTTCTGCAAGGAGAGCTATAATCGCATGGAGGCTACCTAAGAGGGTTGGAAATTATCTAATTTCTGCTTACAAGTGCTAGAGTACAGTAGTTTTTTACTGTTTCCTATTATCTAGCTTTTCCTTTCGTCCCCAAATTCCTCCGCGAGGTTTTCCCGCGCGAGTGTTGCTCGGTGACATTTCTAGGCTATAAGTAGTGCTTGGTTTCTTGTAGAACCCTTTCTGGACTGAAGAAGGCTGACACGCCGAAACCGGTTACCACGGTATTTTTTACAAGAGTGTTTTTACACACACGCAAGCACAACACAAACAACTTTCAAGGTGTCAATCCCTAAGAGTTGCTGCCACGTATTGAAACCATGGCACCTACTTGGTGCTCTATTGGACTCCAAAAAGACACTACTGCGATGGCCAACTACCATTTTGTTGCAACCAATGCAACTGACACCGACACAAGCAAGGACAACCATGCTCAGAAATCAACGCGACACTCGAGGCAAGCAGACCCGAGGACCAATCGCAAAGATAAAGAGCGTGTGCCTTTCGAATTCAATCCAGAGCTTCCTATTTTTTGACTGAGCAAGAAGAGAGGCTGCGACACTCCAGTCGCTGCTGTCACCGCTGCAGTCCCTGCTGTCAGACCTTCTCCAGAGCCTGCTGATCGGCCTTTGAAGTTTACTGATACTATGGCTACTGCACGTCAGGATTCTGCTCACGAGATTCATGATACTGTCATGTTGGACTCTTTTGATTTCCTTGGTGACGTTAACAACCTTTTCCTTGAAAAGCAGGCAACTCCTCCTTGCCTTAACGAGTTTAAGCTGCAAGCTATCAAGGACTTTAAGAAAAACTTCCTGAAACATCGTACGCTGATGCTGCAATACAATTTTATGGAAGAGCAGAAGGCGAACGGGGTTATTCCCCACAGCATTCGGATCAAGCCTTTCAGCTTCGTCTGTCACTCCGAAGAGCTCTGCCAGGAAGCAGATAAGGATCTTCAGGCTGCATGCATGGCTTATTGCAAGGAAGCACAGTCGATCCT